GCCCTGCCCTCCCCTGCCCTGCCCCTGCCCTCCCCTGCCCTGCCCCGTTCTGCTCTGCCCTGCCCCTGTCCTGCCCGGGGGCGGCGCCGGGTCCCGCCTCGCCCTGTCCCTGGGCAGGGCAGGGGGTGGGGGACACACCTTCCCAGGCTGGTGCTTACCGCAGTCTGCAAAGCCCAAGGTGTCCGAGGTCTAGACGGGCTGGTGTTCCTCAGGATGCTGAAACCTGCCTTCCAGGCACGGTGCTCAAAAATTAATCTCGTGTTTTCTGTCTCAGCCAGGCAATAGGTGAGGAAATTGAGACCTTCCCAGTGCTCCGTTGTGGGCCAAGGGGGAATACAGTGCTGTTGTGGTTGCTGGGGGACAAAATTTGGTTACACTGTCTTTATCTTACTTGGCCAGGGAGGAGGCAATAGCAGTAGACCACTGGAGTGTGTGACCCAGTCAGGATCAGCTGAGGGGCACACAAGAAATGGCTCCAGCTGTAAAGGGAGGACAGAGAGGTGGTCTCTGTGAGCCTGAAAGATGACTTTCACAGAGGTTCTAGCACACTGCAACTTGGGGTATGAAGATACAGGTGCTCATTCCCAGAAACATGTTTGTAAACATCGAGGGATGCCATGCCCTGGCAGTAGCAGAGCTGGAGCCTCCCCGAGTTTGCCATGCCAGCTGTGAGAAGATATCACTCTGGGCTTCGCTGTTGATAAAGTCATGACAGAAACAAGTTCCAACAGAGGACCTTAGCCTGGACGCAGCACTTGGCTCTTGTAGGACTAGGGTAGAAAAGGTCAGATTCTGTATGCAAGAAAAGCTCAGAAGTAGGCAATGAACTTTGGCTCAGGTCTCTATGAAACTCCCACAATAGTGTTTCTGCAGAGTTGACACCACTTGGATTAGGGTAGGGTGGGGAGGAAGGGTGACCTCAGACATTGTGCAGGGCAGTCCAGAGTGGGAGATGTAAATGGTCTCAGGCTAATTTCATCTCCACAAAGGAGCCCAATTCAAGTTTGAACAGCTTTCAGCACCTTCAAACAGAGCAGGAGGGCCACGTTTGAAGTTACCCAGAGGAGGAGGGATTTCTTGGCCTCTTGCGCATATCCTACGCAAGCACTTTCCCTTGATGTGTCTGGCATGGCCAACGTATATGTCCCTACACCTAACACTAGCAACCAGCCTGTTTCACTGCTGTCTGATCTCACCTACATGCATGCACTGCACCTCCAGTCCCACCACATCCTCTGGCCATTGCTGTGGGCAAAGAACATTCTCAGGCAGTTTCCACTCAACATCTAGAAATTACAGTTCACTTCCCTGTCTCCCAATGAAGACTGACTTTGTGGGAGTCTCAGGCCAAAAGGAAGAAGCCAGCGGGGAGATGGAGATGGAGATGCACGGCATGGAGCCATTGAACAGGCGAGGTAGCCTGGACTCCAATCAGGAGGATGGCAGAGCCATTGTCATCCTGACCCTTACCCTCTGCAACGTGAGGAAGAATGAGCTCTCTAAGGCCACCAAAGTCTTTGAGGTACAGAGCTTGGCATTCTTTTCTTCCACTGAGCCACCTCTTCTCTCTCTGTTGCCTTCACCTCTACCACTTGGCATTTTCCCCTCTTTCACCCTTCTCTTGCTCACTGCCTGACTTTTGCCTTCAGCTGCCTTCCCCCTTCGCAGTGTCCTTGTTTTGCTGCAGCTGCTCAGACAGGTTGGTTTGCCTCTCCAGGTGAAGGAGTGTGTTCTGCAGGGAAGGAGCAGCTGAACACAGATATTTAAAAGAACCATAATTTGATGCAAGGGCTGCATAGAGTAGATACCAATCTATTATTTCTTTTTCACAGTTGCAGTGACCAGCCACGACTAAGCGACGGGTCAGTATTTCAAGCACTCAGATGGTGGGGGTGTTAGAAGCCAACAAATTTTCTCTGCCTATTTGGCAAGAGATACAGAAAATACAAGAGCTGTAAGCCCTACAGGCATTATATATTCTGGGCACTTGAAGTATCCCTACCAGGTGCTCACTCTCATTTGTACAAATGAATAACTCAAAAGAAAAGTGTTATGTTTGTTACTTATTTTTAATCCTTCATAATTATTTAATGATTATGGTGCTATTACACAGATCTGCTTTTATTCTGCCAGGGTCTTAAGAGTTACCCAGCCACTCATTTGTTATTTCTGCACAGATGAAATGGTGCCGTCAGCAGTATCTCATCTTTCATCTCCATCCATCTCTATGTAATTCTACAGTGTTTACTCTGCCTGTATTTTAGCTCCTTCTAAACTAAGCATTATTCGGCTTTGTTTCTTCACATGCACTAGTTGTTAAGACCTCTTTTAGTCACCTTTTAAATACACTGTAGATCTAAACTTACCTGGATTTTCAGCCTTTGGAGAAGTTTCATCATATGAACATCTGGCTCTTGCAGGCGTTTGAAACTCAGATCCATCACTTTGAAACCAGAAGAGCCAAAAACCCCAAGAATTCTGCTGAGGATCTTGACATTTTTGTTGAATGTGAAGTTCACAGTGCTGATGTTAGTATCCTTATCATCTCCTTAAAGAGAGTAGCAGAAGATGTGAAAACTAGCAGAGAAGACAAAGGTAAGAAATATATGCATCTGTTAATGTTGTTTTCTTTCCTTTTGGAGTAATTTGTTTAGCATTAGTTTTATAATAGTAATTTGGATAGTCCGGAAATAAGGTGAGCATGCATTCATTTTTCTTCACTGCATGGCTGTTTTCCCTGAATTGGACCATTCCTGTTGGTGTGGAAAAGGAGGCACTTTTCCATAGCTAGTGGTACTGAGGTGAGAAAAAGGTTCCAGGAAAAGATGAGATGAGAAGGAGAGAGCAGCAAAACAAGAAGCTGAGGATAAACTGAAAACTCCTCAATGACAGAAAAATTGTGGGCTGAGAGCTGTGCAAAGAACTGACTGCTCCAAGGTGAAAACAGACACTTGATGTGAACACTGTGATACTATATGGAAGGTCTAAATGTTTCGTTTACTTGCAGTGTATTTTGTTGGTTCTGTTGAAAGCAGCAGCAGCTGTCTGTTTGTGGTGTTCACCACTGTTTGGGTCCAGTAATATTGTCTGTAGATAGATTGCTCCTTCACTGAAAAGAGCTAAATGCAACTAGCTGAAGAAGCTTTTGGAGTGCAAGAGGGAAGAGGGTGAGTAGAAAGCCTGCAGGGAAGGCTAGGAGAAATAGTGGATGAGTTTTTTTGTGGAGAACAGACCCATTGCAAAATTTGGAGTAATGGAGCATCAGACATTTTCCCAAGAACCTAAAAAACTTGTTTAGATGTTGTGCAGCTTCAAAGCTTTCCCTTTAGGAGCTGTATTTCATCTGGCAGAGTGCTACGAGTGGCTACTCCACTGCCTGTGCTGAATTTGAGTCATCATTCGCACCAGTTATCAGGGTGGAAAGCAAGTTTGTCAGAGCTAGACTGGTATTTTTCTCATTTAGAGGCAAGTAGGTGATTTGTGAGTACAACAAGCTGTTAGAGACCTTTAATAGAATCCTGAGGACGCCAGAGATGCCCCTAGTACATGAGAAGGCTGAGGATCCAACTTACAGGCTGATCTCTCTGAATACCGAATTGACATGATTCCAACCCTTGGGAAGGCCAGGCACTCCATGCGCCTTTTAGCTAATACAGTCCTCTTTGAATATCTTTGGGTGTTGTTTGAAATTCACTTTCAGAGTAGTGCTAAGAGGCAGTCCATGCCAAAGAGTTCTCAGGGACAGTGGGAATATCATAAGGGTATCACTGCTGTGAAGGGAAACTGGAGAGCCAAGGATGGTTGTAGAGCTGAAGAAGCATTTCTTTAGGATTTCCTTGAGAATTGAAAGGTTTGTACTCAGAAGTAGCAGTTAGTTTCAGGTGTGCTGGGACTGGGATCTACAATAAAAGCCAGGGACTGTTAAAAGAGGATGTTTATGGTTAAAGCAGCAGAATATTAAGAACATAGTTTTCTTAATATTTTCTTTTTTTCTTATGATTTTGAACAGTAATCATAAAAGCAACTAGGTTTATTTTGGAGATAATGATCCTAGAATTAACATACTTGGCATGTAAATGGCCAGAGTATTTATTTTTCTAGGTTAGGTCTGTCTTATATACAGCATTCCTTGATTTGTAGAGCCTTTTCTGAGCATTTCAGATCCCAGAATTCAGTAGTGTGCTAAGCAGTTCATTTGCTTTCAAGATGAAAAATTCAGAGAGTTGGTATTTGTGGCCCACAGAGACACCCTATGTGTGGGCACCAGCAAGAACTGGAGATTTGGAGGATTTGGTCTAAAAGGTCTTTGTGGTTTCGGTCCTATTAAGGTGAATTCAGGGGTGTTAAAGTGTCAGAAGACTTTCAGCTCAGGTCCTAGGTCTAAGATTGTCTAGTGGCTGATTTTAGTGGTACATCTTATTAAAAGTGGTGGTGCCTTTTGAAAGAGGCTAGCTGCAGCTTCACTTTCTAGTGAGGTTTGCAGATGATTTTACTAATGAAAACCAAGAGATTATAACTGCAAGTTAGTTTTAGAGAATTTTTATCCAGTCTGCCAGTTTGGTTGGCAAAAAAAATTTGACTACTGACATATAGTGAAAAGTAGATGTGAATATTCTTAGATATTGATGAAAACTTGTAAACTTTAGCACTTCAGTTTTCTGTATCTTCTAAAAATTATTTGATCCTATCTAATTTAACTCTTGCTGCTTTCTCTCCAGTGCCTTGGTTCCCCAGAAAAATACAAGATCTTGACAAGTGTCACCATCTGGTCACTAAGTATGATCCCAGTCTGGACCATGGTCACCCTGTAAGTTAAATATCACTGTTACTTCATTTTTAAACATTTCAAGAGTGAAGAAATGCTCATGAAAGGACAGGGAAGACTGAGGGTCACATAAAGGCTGATCTTCAATGGAATTAGGGAGTATAAAATAAATAACTTGATAATGAGAAAAGTTTATGGATCCTGATTCATCAAGGTACATATGATTAATATCAAACACATGCTGAAGTAATTTATATTCAACATATTCTTTAACATGAGTTTACATTTCATTATTTAGTTTAAAAAACCTTCTTGTTTATTATTTTGCCCCTCATATATTTGAAGTATATCCACCAGGTACTAGCTGGTCCATATAACAGTCAAGTTCCCCAGCCTTTGGTTTTGGTGTTTTTTGTTTTGACCTTTCAGATATCCTATATCTGCATTTTAAATTTTGCATATTTTGTTCAAGTATAAAGGCACAGTGGAAGGTAATGAAGACAAGTGGCAAAGAGCTTCTTACTGATAAATACCAGATCCTCAGATCCTGCAGAAGAAACTTGCAAAAAATCTTCTAGTCAGAAAATAAGATAAATACATGGCAACACTGATTAATGGATTTCATACCTAAACTGAAATTTAATTGACTAGAGAAGCTAAAAAGGTCTAGTGATTTCAGTCAAGCTAAGTATGTAAATTTTAAATAGGAAGCAAGCTAGAAATATCCTAATCCTAATCCTAATCCTAATCCTAATCCTAATCCTAATCCTAATCCTAATCCTAATCTTAATCCTAATCCTAATCCTAATTCACATCTGACTTTTCACAAGGTCTTCAGAGGCAGGATTTTAGCTGTATTTATTGATACTACTCTGCAAAATATTGTTAGAATATATGTGATCAGCATTCCGTTGGATTCAGGCAGTCTTAGTTATGAGTGGCAGCAAAAACGACTTTACTCATAGCAGTTTTATGTGCGCGTTTTTCACCTTGTTATAAGCAGGAACTCCAAGAGAAGGGAGAGGAAAAAATTGCTGTAGAGTCCTGCTCTAGTGATGATAATAGTAAAGCACAGTACTGGGAGCAAACAAATAAACATTGTTTCTCATCAGTGTTTTCCAACTCTAGTACCAAGCAGATGTGAGTTAGGTGCAGACAAATACAGGACTCCAAAGGGCCCTTTGCTACTTGATGAGGTAGGTCACAGAATTGTGTTCTGCCAAAAATCACACAGAAGGGATGTATGAAAGCACAGACTTCTCACTGAAAAATACAAGGAAGACTTAGATGGATGTCAACAGAATCTACAAGGTTTTATAATTCCCTTTTCTAAATTTCTGAATCTTATTTAGACCCTTTTATTAACCTGCACAATGTTAATGTTATTAGCTATGTACAGTTCTGTGTGGTACAGAAAAACCTTCCAAAATCTATATTTTATTTCAGAAAATCATGTCTAAACTATAATGCTCTAGGAGAGCTTCATATCCTCCTTAACTAGGACATCTTTCATTCTTCCTCGTATCTTTCTGACAGAAACCATTCAAGTATTTGTTGTTTTCCTAAGCTAACTCTGAGGCTGCTTCTTTTGAGATAACTGAATGCACATTGGGAATTCTTGGAATTAGACTAAGTTCCTCTGTTCCTCTCCTACTTTGCCAAACAGGAGGTATGAACACTGAAGAGGATAAGAGAAAGCATCAGTGGTGCAGAGTTCCTGAAGCATTGAGTCGGGCTCAATCTACACTGCAGAATACAGTGCAACATAGAAGTATCTAAACTAGCTTGGAACAAGTTAGCTCAGGCACTGAAAATAATTTTTCTGTTCTCCCAAATAACAAGAAATAGAACAAAAGGATATTGCTTCAAGTTGTGCCAGGGGAGGTTTAGACTGAATATTGGAAAAATTACTTTACCGGCAGGGTTGTCAGATACTGGAACAGGAAAGTGGTCAAGTCATCATCCCTGGAGGTATCTAAAAGATGTGTAGATATGGTACTTCGGGACATGGCTTAGTGGTGGACTTGGCGGTGTGCTAGGTTAAGGGTTGGACTTGATCCTTAATGTCTTTTCCAACCAAAATTATTCAATGATTCTATGAGAGCACAACCTGGGCTCATTTGCTGCGCTGTTAAGCATGGCTCAAAAATGGACAGGTTGAAAGAAAGTACCAAATGCACTGACATACTGGTGGCTTGGCAGAGATCTTGCACATACATTTACTATGTAATAGGCAATTTTGGCAACATCTTCACTTTCTTCTTTATTATGTCTTTAATGGCCTGAAAAGCAAACTGATAACACTGTGACACCAGTCTCTGGGGCACCCTGACACTGGCTATAGTGGTCCCACAGAGAAGCTCCTACTGCTCAAAGGGTAGGTACAGAGCCCTGGGAGCTGCAGGGACAAAGTTGACAGGTCACAGCATCAACACTAATCAGGCCCAAAGGCTTTTCCATGTGTTTTGCCTGGACTTTTTACAGCTACTGACAAGCAAGTGTGGCATTGAATGAATGTATTATCCATAACACATGACAAAAATAAACATGGTCTCATGATCCAGGTCTTTCCTCAGATTCACACACACAATACTCATTAACTGCAGTATTATTGGTATTATTGCTACACTGAAGATTATGTGAATAAACCTAAGGGAGAAATTTGGCTTGTGGTACACAAAGTGGTTCCAGTAAATTCTGAATATTTTAGAATAATAAATATTTGTAGAGTGATGCTGATCAACGCTGCTTTATGAGTTATATTAGTAACACAGTGCCAGATTTCAGATTTTATTCCTATTATGAATGATGTAAAATTAAAAGGATTTTGCTTCCACATCTCTATTCATATTTAATAGTTGGAGAAGATTTCTTGAAGTTCAAATTCTAGTAAACACCAAGGGGGCAAAGAGAAAACTCTGGTATTTAATAAGTAAACTGCCCCTTTAAACAGATACCACCAAATTTGTGCTTATCGTAATATGGTAAGAAACTGGCAAGGGGGGATTGAGCTGAAATCCTGTACTTTCTACTAATTCAGTGATGGTTCTAGTGATTTATGCATAGTGGGACTCCTTTGCCCAAAGCACAGAGTATCGTGCAGGCACAATGTACTTTCTTTGGTGAGGTGGTGCCATCATGTCCATTGCAGCTCTATAGAATCATAATATGGTTTGAGTTGGAAGGAACCTATATTGCAGTCTTCATGCAGGAAGGAAATGATTCAGAGGTTCAACTCTTCCCCAGTGGAAGTGACACCCTTCTTTCAGTCCCATTTTTAGTGTGATTTGCATTTAAATTTGACAGTAGGTGTAATGGCCTGTGATGTAGTGTTTATAAACAACTCCAAAACCAAGCCATGTTACTTTCCTTTCTGGTCCAAAATTTTCATCAAAATGTCATGGATATAACTGATTGCAGACGTATGGACAGGCTTACCCTGCCCATAAGGCTGAAGATTAATTGCCTCAGAGAAAAACAACCTATCTGAGGTCTAGGTTTTCTGAATACTTTTGTTAACAAATTTATTTATGCCGACAAATCTCTCTTAATTTAATTTTTTTTTTTCAAATTATTTTCTACCTCAGGGGTACGCTGACATCGAGTATAAGAAAAGAAGGGCATTCTTTGCTGATCTTGCCTTTAATTACAGAGCGTAAGTACAAGGCAGCTGTAGAGAGGCTTCAGTTGTGCTTTCAGACATCTTAGCATGCAAGAAATGCCAGAGACTTAACTATTTTTCAATGCATCAATGGGGCTATCTCTTAGAAAACAGAATTCAGCCCCAGAAACTTTTACTCCAAATGAAACAGACTTTTCCCACAACACAGCAAATATACCTTAAGATAAAAACTTAGGGTTGTGTTCACATCTCCTTCAGTGCTGCATTTCATCTTGGCAGAGGTGATTTCTCAATACAACGCTTTTATTTCAATTGTGAAGTTTCTTTTATAACTAGTTCCTGAGCTGAGGTTAGTCTTTTTCAAGGAACTATAAGTAACATATTTTTGACAAAGAAAAATAATACAGTATTTTTGTTATTTATTTGATAAAATGTCTCTAGCCAAGCACATTAGCTAGATACAAAGCCTTTCAGGTCTTGTGGGAGTGACTGAAAATATTTCTGCTTTTATGTGTAAAACTTCACCAGAATCACAGTGCTGTTTAACAGAGTCAATCAGATGCGTAGGTACAACTGGTTGTGGATTATCAGCCTTGTGGTGTCCAAGAACTAGTGAGATCTCCTGGGTCTTGAGACACTTCTATTTGAGTAGTTTTCTCACCACCATCATATATATATATTGAAGATAGAGCAGCACACAACAGCACAAAATCACACACAGAACTGAGTCTGAGCTACTGATAAGCAACAGTGAAAAAGAGAAGACTACCCATCAGAGAAATCAGTGGTTACCATGCAGTGTGTGCCTGGGCAGTGCTCTGCTGATGAGTTTGTGAACACTTCTCTGGGATGATACTGAGCTGATCATGTCCTCCAGCTATGGACCCTCTTGGCGCACACTGTGTTTTTGTTGCTAGATTGTCTACATCAGAAGAAAGGATAAGGCTGAAGGCCTCTTTTTTCTTCTGCAAAGCAGAATATGGCTCCCTTTCTTACCATATCTGTTTCCTCCCCACACTGGAAGAGC